TCCTCCTCCTCCTCCTCTTCCTCCTCCTCCTCCTCCTCCTCCTCCTCTTCCTCCTCCTCCTCCCTCTCCTCCTCCTCCTTCTTTTTTTTTTAATCTTTCTTTTCCCAACAGCTTGTGGTGGTGGGTCTTCGTTTTGAAGAGACAGCGCCCCGCCTCGCCTCCCCTTCGTCTCCGTTCCTCCTCATCCTCTCTCCTCCCAGATGCGCGGCGTGCCGCTCGGCGCGGGCGGCCCGCGTTGAGCCACCGCGCGGGGCCTCGCCGTGCTGCCTCGCCGCAAGGCTCGCTGCTGCGCGTCGTAAGTCGGGCATGTTCCTCTACAGGTGGAAAAGTCAAAATAGCCAATAATAATCTAGAGGCGATTCTGACACAACAAAAACACATGTTTCTGCGTGTTGTGGAGCATGTCATGGGGATGCTTATATTCTTGCACAGCTGTGCTCTAGAGCTCGGACATCTTTCTTTTCGTCGTGGTGGTTCGTCCCCCTCGGCCCCTCCCCTGAGCCTGAGCGCCAGTCTCCCTTGGGCCACCCCTCCTTGGAACCGCCCCTCCGCCAAGGCTTCCCAGGGCAGCCCCCCTGGGCCGCCGAACCCTTTTATTTTTGTCGTGGTGGTTCGTCCCCCTCGGCCCCTCCCCTGAGCCTGAGCCCCAACCCTCCTGGGTACCACCCCTTGGAACCGTCCCTCCGTCCAGGCTTCCCAGGGCAGCCCCCCTGGGCCGCCGAACCCTTTATTTTCGTCGTGGTGGCTCGTCCCCCTCGGCCCCTCCCCTAAGCCTGAGCCCCAGCTCCCCTGGATCACCCTCCCTTCCCCCTCGGCTCCTCCCCTGAGCCTGAGCCCCAGCTCCCCCTGGGCCACCCCCCCTTGGAACCGCCGTTCCGTCCAGGCTTCCCAGGGCAGCCCCCCTGGGCCGCCGAACACTTTATAGTTTCGTCGTGGTGTTTCGTCCCCCTCGGCCCCTCCCCTGAGCCTGAGCCCCAGCTCCCCTGGGCCATCCCCCCCTTGGAACCGCCGTCCGCCCAGGCTTCCCCGGGCAGCCCCCCTGGGCCGCCGAACCTTTTATTTTCGTCGTGGTGGTTCGTCCCCCTCGGCCCTTCCCCTGAGCCTGAGCCCCAGCTCCCCTGGACCATATCTCTTGGGACCTCCCTTCCGTCCAGGCTTCCCAGGGCAGCTCCCCTGCCCCCCCCCCGGAACCGCCCCTCCGTCCAGGCTATCCAGGGCAGCCCCCCTGGGCCTCCGAACCCTTTATGTTCGTCGTGGTGGTTCGTCCCCCTCGGCCCCTCCCCTGAGCCTGAGCCCCGGCTCCCCTGGGCCACCCCCCCTTGGAACAGCCCCTCCGTCCAGGCTTCCCAGGGCACCCCCCCTGGGCCGCCGAACCCTTTATAGTTTCGTCGTGGTGGTTCGTCCCCCTCGGCCCCTCCCCTGAGCCTGAGCCCCAGCTCCCCTGGGCCCTCCGTACAGGCGTCCCAGGGCAGCCCCCCTGGGCCTCCGAACCCTTTTATTTTTGTCGTAGTGGTTCGTTCTCCTCGGCCCCTCCCCTGAGCCTGAGCCCCAGCTCCCCCTGGGCCACCCCCCCTTCCCCGTCAGCCCCTCCCCTGAGCCTAAGCCCCAGCTCCCCTGGCTGGGCCATCCCCCCCTTGGAACCGCCGTTCCGTCCAGGCTTCCCAGGCAGCCCCCCTGGGCCGCCGAACACTTTATTTTCGTCGTGGTGGTTCGTCCCCCTCGGCCCCTCCCCTGAGCCTGAGCCCCAGCTCCCCTGGGCCACCCCCCTTGGAGCCGCCCCTCCGTCCAGGCTTCCCAGGGCACCCTCCCCAGCTCCCTTGGGCCATCCCCCCCTTGGAACCGCCCCTCCGTCCAGGCTTCCCAGGAACCCTTTTGTTTTTGTCGTGGTGGTTCGTCCCCCTCGGCCCCTCCCCTGAGCCTGAGCCCCAGCTCCCCTGGACCCCCCCCCCTTCCCCGTCGGCCCCTCCCCTGCGCCTGAGCCCCAGCTCCCTTGGGCCATCCCCCCCTTGGAACCGCCCCTCCGTCCAGGCGTCCCAGGGCAGCCCCCCTGGGCCGCCGAACCCTTTATTTTCGTCGTGGTGGTTCGTCCCCCTCGGCCCCTCCCCTGAGCCTGAGCCCCAGCTCCCCTGGGCCATCCCCCCCTTGGAACCGCCCCTCCGTCCAGGCTTCCCAGCGCAGCCCCCCTGGGCCGCCGAACCCTTTATAGTTTCGTCGTGGTGGTTCGTCCCCCTCGGCACCTCCCCTGAGCCTGAGCCCCAGCTCCCCTGGGCCACCCACCCTTGGAACCGCCCCTCCGTCCAGGCGTCCCAGGGCAGCCCCCCTGGGCCTCCGAACCTTTTTTTTTGTCGTAGTGGTTTGTTCTCCTCGGCCCCTCCCCTGAGCCTGAGCCCCAGCTCCCCCTGGGCCACCCCCCCTTCCCCGTCGGCCCCTCCCCTGAGCCTGAGCCCCAGCTCCCCTGGACTACCCCCCCTTGTGACCTCCCTTCCGTCCAGGCTTCCGAGGGCAGCTCCCCTGGGCCACCCCCCCTTGGAACCGCCCCTCCGCCAAGGCTTCCCGGGAACCTTTTTATTTTTGTCGTGGTGGTTCGTCCCCCTCGGCTCCTCCCCTGAGCCTGAGCCCCAGCTCCCCTGGACCACCCCCCCTTCCCCTTGGCCCCTCCCTGAGCCTGAGCCCCTCCCCTGAGCCATCCCCCCTTGGACCGCCCCTCCGTCCAGGCTTCCCAGGCAGCCCCCCTGGGCCGCCGAACCCTTTATTTTCGTCGTGGTGGTTCGTCCCCCTCGGCCCCTCCCCTGAGCCTGAGCCCCAGCTCCCCTGGGCCACCCCCCTTGGAACCGCCCCCTCCGTCCAGGCTTCCCAGGGCAGCCCCCCTGGGCCGCCGAACCCTTTATTTTCGTCGTGGTGTTTCGTCCCCCTCGGCCCCTCCCCTGAGCCTGAGCCCCAGCTCCCCTGGACTACCCCCCCCTTGGGACCTCCCTTCCGCCCAGGCTTCCCAGGGCAGCTCCCCTGGGCCCCCCCCCCTTGGAACCGCCCCTCCGTCCAGGCTGCCCAGGCAGCCCCCTGGGCCGCCGAACCCTTTATTTTCGGCGTGGTGGTTCGTTCCCCTCCGCCCCTCCCCTGAGCCTGAGCCCCAGCTCCCCTGGGCCACCCCCCCTTGGGAGCCTTCCTCCGTCCAGGCGTCCCAGGGCAGCCCCCCTGTGCCGCGGAATGCTTTCTTTTGGTAGTGGTTTTGGTGGTTCGTCCCTCCTCTGTGCAAGAGCCAGGGCACGCGTGCCACTTGTTTCTCGCCCAAATCCGCCTGTAGGGGGACACGCCCGACCGAACGCTCGTCTGGCTTGGCTCGCTCACAGCTCCCCCTCCTCCTCCCCCCGCCGGGCGCGGGCGGGCGGGCGGCGGGGGCTCCACCGCTGCGCGCGCTGGCGGGCTCCTCTTGGGCAGGCCGCGCCGGGAAAGGGTGATTGCCGACACCTGCAGACCCCCCACGCCGCGCTTTTGTCCCACGCGTCGACCCCCCCCGAGGTCTGGAGTACAATTTGGACACTTTTCATGATTTCAAGAATAGCTAGACACTGATCACAATGTGTTTTTTTTTTTGAAATTTCACAGTAATTGGAGGCCTCTTGTTCAAACATCAAACCTTCTGAAAAATGTTTTCTCTGAAAAATAAGTCCCTAAAACGCAGCTTACAGTCAGTTTTTTCTGACAATGATTGCAAAGAGAGTGAGCAACCGCAACCAAAAAAGCACAGAGTCCCCCTCCCGCCGGGACCGGGATAATAAAAGGGCCCCCGGAGGCCGAAAAAACAGCGAGCGAGGAGCCTGCCGTCGTGATTTTCGTCACCGCGGGGAGGCCCGGGATTGCCGACGCCGCCGAGCGTGCCGGAGCGACACGCGTGGGGGGGAGGGAGGGAGGGATGGAGGGAGGGAGGGAGGGAGGGAGGGAGGGAGAAAGGGAGGAGCAAGGAGGAGGAGGAAGGGAGGAGGGGGGAAGGATGAGGAGGAGGGAGGAGGAGGAGGAGGAGGAGGAGGAGGAGGAGGAGGAGGAGGAGGAGGAGGAGGAGGAGGAGGAGGAGGAGGAGGCCCCGCGCCTGGCCCCCTCGCGGGTCGGGCCCCTGACCTGGGCGCGGCGCGCCGCGCCGCGCCGCAGCCCCCGCGGGTCGCGCTGGCGAGCCCCCGCTGCCACGGCCGGCGTCCCCTCCAGGTGCTGGCCAGAGTGCGCCCCAGGAGATGCCTGGGAGGAGTCCTCCACATACAAAAAAAATGTCTGGGGACGTTGCTTCGACTATGGCTGGCTGTTGTTGCATCGTTTGTCTGCTGGTTCGAGGTTGCTATCTTTGAGCAACTGTATTTTTCAGGATCATCTTGCTGATTATGTTTTTTCCAAAATCCGCCTGTAGGAGGACATGCCCGAGCCAAGAGTAGCGGTATCGGTACGTGCTTCTATCACCCCCCGCTGAGCAAGCCCCCCCCATCGAAAATCTCCCGCTCCTCTCCAGGACCGGGACTCCCCTCCCGGCGATTGTATTACCCCCACTTCCCCACTCCACCTCGCTCCAGGGGGCCCCTTCGTAACCCCTCCCTCCCCCCCGAGTTCTTCCCGGCGTACTCAGAAGGCGCTCCGTCCAGTGTCTTCACGCTGGGCGTTTTCGCCCGGATGCGTGTCCCGGGGTCCTCGCAGGTCGATCCGGTGCGATGGATGCCGGCCTGGTCGCGACGTCCCGCGATGTTGCGCTCTGCGCGCGACGCCGGATCTCCGTGGGTGGCGACCCGAGGGCGAGGACGCCGAGCCGCGGCTTCTTGCGCCCTTGCTGTCACGACCCTTGCGGCGGGCGCAGCTCGAAGCGCGGGGCCACGCACGGGCGGGGTTCTGCGGGTGGGTTTGGAGCGGGCTTGGGGCGGATCGTCGTCGTCGTCGTCGTTTTCGTCGTCGTCGTCGTCGTCGTCGTCGTCGTCGTCGTCGTCGTCTGGTTTTGCTTGGCCGCTCGGCGTGCTGGGCAAGGGGAGGCTCCCTGCCCCTGGTGCCGCCGGGGGTGGGCGGCATGCCAGGCTCGCCCCCCAGCGCGGGTGCGGAGAGGTGGGTCTCGCCGGGTCGGAGGTCGGGGAGATTGTGCGGGCCGGGAAAGTGACCACAGCCACTGCTTCTTGTCTGCGCCGCCGTCCAGCCGGCCGAGAAAGAAGCAGTGGTTGTGGTCATTTCCCGGGTGCCAAGCTCAACGAAAATGACCACAACCACTGCTTTGTTTCTGCGGGCTGGGAAGTCGTTTTCACGCCCCGTAGATTTTGTCACCAGCACCACCAGCCCGGACTCCCTCGTGTTGTCAAAAAATCACGACGGGAGGTTATTCGCCATGTTCGGCCTCTGGGGGCCCTCACCGGGCCTCGGGGCCGTCGTCAGAAAACAGCTCAGGACGAAAAGCCGGTCCCTGGGAATGTAGGTCAAAATTTCTCGGGGTCGACGTCATGAAGAAGTCATGACGTCGGGGGTCTGGAACCAGCACCACCAGTGGGGCCACTTCCAGCGAGGAGGCCCGCGCTATGCTCTGGGCCTCCTAAAGGTGGGGTCCGAGCAGGTGGGATCGGAGGATCGCCGATGCATCGGCGGTGCATCGGCGATGCGGCTCGATGTGGAGCCCGACTTTCTCTGCGCCGACAGCGCCGAGGCATCGACGACGTCGCCGATGCATCGCCGATACATCGGTGAGGCGGCGCGATCCTCCGACCCCATCTGCTCGGACCCAATCTGAGAGCCTCTGTATGCCTCCCGAACTGGAGGTTGGATGTGTCTCGAGCGGGGATCGGTACGCTAGAACTGGGTACGGAAAGAATGGGCACGAAAACCAACAGCACTTCCTCACCATTATGAACAGAACTCGCTGTCGGTGTTGGCGCGGAGGTTGTCCATTTGAGATACAAGTCCGCCGGCCAACAGCGGTCGCCTGTCGGTTTGGCCGTACCAACTTCGGGCGTCCAGAAGGGCATGGGGACTACACAACCAGGAGGATCCCCTCTGGCCCCTGGCTCTTTGCGCTGGTGGTGGTTGTGGCGTCGCGTGCCCTTGTTCCCAGCTGGAGTTCTTGGCAGCGCGGGGTTCGAAGTTCGCGGGTCGAGGTCTGTGGACGTTATCGGCCAAAGAGGTTTCGGGACCCCTGTTGGCGCGCGGCAGGGGGTAGCGAGGGCGTGTTTCGAGTTGAGGCCCCTGGTCCTTTGAAACAGCTGTGCACCCGGAGTGTCTTTTGTTTGAATATCCGATGGTCTATTTCGAGTCCTGGCGACACGCGCAGCACATCCTCTCGCTGCGCAGCACGCCGCGAATTCTTTGCTCGAGGGGATCGAGGCCCTGCGAATCGACAAAGCTGTGGCGCAGGTATTGGGATTGCGCAGTTCGGTTCCTCCAGCTCTCCCCCCTACCCTTCTCCTCCCCCCCCGTCGGTGGTGACGGCGAGTTCTGCGACCACCGGCCGCCGCATGACCGCGGCATCCGCGCACGCCCTGCGGTCGCCGCGCTCCGCGCGGTCGGCTTCGGCGTTACCGGGTGTGCGCTCGTGTCGTTGCGACCGGGTGGCGCGATCGGCCAGGCGTCAAGGCCTCGCTTCGCCTCGGCATCGCTGGGACGTGTGCATTTTTCCTTCGGCGAGGACCATCGAGGAGCATCCTCGAGTATTTGGCGAAAAAAACACGCACGAAACGGAAACAAAACACAGGGAATGGACGTCCGAGCGATGGCCAGTCGCCGTGCTGTTTCTTCTCGCAGGGTCCAGACCAATCCGATCGATGCGATGCGATGGCGATTCCGACCGCTCCTATTCGGTTCTCGTCCGGTGTTTCGAAATCCCGATGTGCGGGCCGATGCTTGCATGGCGCTGCTGCATACCCTGGCGCAGCTGTCTCGGCTCCGCGTCGCTGCAGCCCGTCCCGACGCACATGCCGATTCGATCCGATCTTCCGGTGCACATGCCGATTCGATCCGATCTTCCGGTGCGGTGCTGATTTGGTCCTGCCTCGTGCTGGAAGGCCCGCGCGCGCACCGAGAAATCTCACAGTGTATGCGTCGTGGCGGGCGCTTTCTGGCCACACCGCTCGGGAAACGGTATGATACAAGATGGGTATGCTATATGTTCGGGTCGGACGCGTGCCTCCAAGGATGACATCGTACTCTTATGTTTTTGTTGCGCCCCCCATGATCTCAGAGGTTCTCGATTTATCATCACCCGATTTGATCCTCGTCCTGGCTTCGTCTCAGCGGGTAGGGCGTGCAGGGTGATCGGCGAATCGCTCCCCACACCGCTCGATGGCGCCCAACAGTGGCGCCCAAGAGGGCCTTGTGAGGGAGATGCATTACAGTCGGGCCGAGGTGAAATATCGAGGTCGGTTCGGGGAGGGTTGATGCTCTTCGTGTATGTTGGCTGTTCGTGTGCATCCCGGGGGGGAGGACACCCTCATCTAGGTCGGTCCGGGGAGGGTGGATGCTCCTCGTGTTTGTTGGCTGCTCTTGTGCCTCCCGGGGGGGGGAGGGCACCCCCGCGTGATCTGATGGTGTGGGGTGCTGTGACCCGCGGAGGCTCTCATGTTACCTTGCAGGACGCAGGTCCGACCGTGTGTCTTCTTTGCGCGGGACTCGGCCTGCGCCGGTGGGCGCCACCGGGGAGGACCAGCAGCCTCCGAGGAGGGCCGGGCGCACACGAGGCGGCCGAGGCCCTGCGCGAGAGCCGGGCGCGCCTCGCGCGTCGGCAGCCCCTTGGCGAGGCCTGGCCGCGCGTCGGCTCCAGCGCTCGGCCCACCGCGCGCCAGCGCGTGCGGGGCGGAGGGGGGTCCAGCGGCGAGCCAGGGCGTCCGCTGCAGCTGGCACGAGGGCTACAGGCTGCCCCGGCTCTCGAGGGGTGCCCTCGTGCTCTTCGTGATGGGGCCCTCCACCCCGAGAGTGCTCTTCTTCTGCGGAGCCTCTCCTCGGCGCGTTGGGCCTCTGCAGCGGGGCTCGTGTTCTCGACTCACTTCTGGTGGCCATGTCTCGGCTCCAGGCCATCCGACGGGTCGTGCCTATGCCGTCTTGGCGCATTCTGGCCTCGGCGCTGGTATACCCGTTGTTGCGAAACAGCCGGATCCAGCCTCAAACCGATTGACCGTATGTTATATCGGATAGGAAGGCACGGAAGTTGCCGCTTGTGAATGTACATCGGCGAACGGCGGATAGCGCTCAACAGCGCGCGATAGCGCACGCACCGCGCTCAATAGGGCCCAGTAGCGGCGAATAGTGCCCAAATGGCACCCAAGAGCGCCCACTGCCGCTACATAGCGAGGGAGGGGCATTACGGCCTTTTTGCGCGCTGCTGTGCGCGCAATTGGACGCGCTATTGGATGCCATAGGGACGACCAAAAGCGTCCGTGAGTTGCCGTCTAACTTAATCCGCTTCATCCTTTGCCTATTCTCGGCGACGCGCCCAGTGCGGAAGTGAGAGGGGGCAGGCCATCTCAGAAGGCGGCGGGGTTTCCCAGAAGCCCTCGCGCCTTCAGAGAAGCCGCCTCTCTCTGCGGGGAAGGCCCAGAACGACTCTCAGAAGGCGCGAGGGCTTCTGAGCCCGCCGCCTTCTGAGATGGTCTGCCCCCTCTCACTTCCGCCCTGGTCGCGTTGCCGAGAGTAGGCAATTGATGAAACGGATAAAATCAGTCAGCAATTCACGGAAACTTTTGGTTGCCCCATGGCATCCAACAGCGCGTCCAATGGCGCGCCCAACAGCGGGCATCCACAGCGCGTAGCGCGTCCAATGGCGCGTTCCATCGACGCGGAGTGCCCCCTCTCACTTCATTCTTCCTCCTCCTCCTCCTCCTCCTCCTCCTCCTCCTCCTCCTCCTCCCCCTCCTCCCCCTCCTCCTCCTCCTCGCGTTCCTCCTCCTCATCCTCCTCCTCCTCCTCCTCCTCCTCCTCCTCCCCGTAGCCATTTTGGCTCAAGGGGCCTGCTCCTGAACTTCCCAACCTCGCTCGAGTGCGGCCAGAGGGGCCATTTTGCAGTCACGGCACCCTTGCAACAGGTGCTTATCCGTCTCCTCTTTGGTTTCCATTCCTGCGCAGGGCTGCTATGGCCTGGCGCGACCTCGCCCCATGGCGCAACGGCGGCGGCGGCTGGCGCGGCCGCGGCGGCGCCAAGGGAGGCGGTGGCAAGAAGAAGCAGTATGATGCCTGCTCCGCCTGTCGGCACTGGGAGTATCGGGCCTACGGCAACTGGTGTTGCTCTAAGTGTGGTGGCCTCTACATCGGAGACGCTACTGGAGCCCCTGGTGGTCGTCTTGGCGGAGGTGGAGGAGCTCATGTCCAGGCTCCACAGGGAGGTGATGATGGTGCCGACATCCGTGCGGCAGCGCAGGTGCTCTTGGCTGCTCGACCTGAGTTGCAAGGGCAGCTGGGCGAGTTCGTGCAGCGTCCACCGCAAGAAGTTGTTGAGTGGTCCCAGGCTCAACTCAATGATGGAGCATGTACTGAACGCACACGGCTCACTCGTGAAGTGGAGTACCAAGCTCGTGCTGTTCGCCTTGCGTCCCAGGACCTGCATCAGCGCAGCTCTAAGGTTCAACGCTTGCAGGAGCAATTGGAGGAGGCGCAGGCTGCCATGCGCGCGGCCCAGGTCGAGGAGCAGGAGGCGCAGGCGAAGAAGAAGGCTGCGGACGAGGCCGTGGCCGCCTTCCGTGAGGTCGACTGGATCGCCAACAAGCGACAGGAGCTCGCCGCTGCTGCTGCCGCTGCTCGCGATGCGGGCGCGAGGGCGGCCCAGCCGCAGTCCCCGCCTGGCGCTGCCCTTGCGGGAGGCGCCCCCGCGCGGGGCGGTGGCGGCGCAGCTGCGGCGGGCGGCGCATGGGGTCGTCCTGCTGGTGGACGTGGTGATGGTGACGTTCGTATGCATGACGACTTTCCTGATCTCGCTGGCTATGACGATAAACAATTGCGTGAGTTCTGTTCTGGTCGGCAGCTCCCCTTCGATTTCGTCAAGCGCTTCGTGGAGATGCAGCGGCAGATCTACGAGGTGCCTTCGTCGGGGGCGGGGTATGATGCTGGCTCT